TATATTTACAAATAAAAAAATTATTAAAATTTACCTAATGTTAAATTATCTTCTTCATCAAATATCTTATAGCATTTTACACTAACTCGCAAAATTTCTTGTGTTAATAATGTATTAATAATTGTTTTTCGATCTGGTGAATTATAATTTGGCTGAAGTTACTTGAGCAATTCAATGATAAATGGATATTCAATTAGATGCCATGGCAAGCTACAACATACAAAAGCTTTAATAAGAGCTGTATCAATAATATCTTTTCATTTTCTACTTAATTCTGAATTTTCATAAAATTTGACTAAAGTTGTTTGTTTATTCTCAACTTGACTTTTTTTACGTTTAGGATTGGTAGCATTAAGTGAAGATATTTCGCGTGTTTCTACCATATATATGACAGCTTCACGAATTAAATGGTCTACTTTTGAACAATTAATTATATGTTTTTCCATTATTCCAGTCTTTTCAAGTCGAAAAGTTTGGTCACATGCTAAACATGTTGCAACATAATATCCTTTATCCTTGTTCAAAAATCTCCAAATAGGTTTTTTTGGGCGTTCACCAGAATTGGTGGACTTTAATTTTTTTGAAGTTGAAGTTTCGTTATTATCGGATATTTCAAAATGAAAAAGAGATTATCGCTATTACATAATCAGGTATCTTGTATAGCGATCATTTATAATAAAATTTAGTTTCAGGATTTGGTAGAAGTTTAGGGTTATGGAATAAATTTCGGAAAATTGGAATATGTTTCAGATATCGGAAATGGTTTCAGGATTCGGTGGAAGTTTTGGTTATGGGTCAAGTTTTGATTTGTATATACCGAAACCCAAAACTTTCGGAAATGCTTCCGGAGGTTTCGATACTCATGTTTAGGTGGTAACATATTTCACAAATCGAAAAGAATTATCCGTTCATACGTTGTTTATTTATTATTGGTTAACCGTCTTCTAGATTATATACATTGTAATATATACTGTTATATGAGTTTGTTTCTAAAAATTCACAGGTAATAAAGTGCAAAATTATTGGAATCTTCACGATAATATAAAGAAAATAAAATACTATGCGGATTCTTCTCGAAAATCTTCAGCAAAATAGAAGAACGATAACCTTCATATTACAAGTATTTGGTATCAAGGACATCGACAACGTGATCAAAACTAATCATGATTAGTCCGATCAACCGGCATTCATTTCTCGAATAGGAAACGAAGTTTTAAAGTGAAAATAAAGCTAATTCTAAATAAATCAACTATCTATTTTGTAAAATAAAGCACTTTTACAAGCAGTCATTATTCGTCAAAGAGAAATTGGTTTTATTTCTCGAGTAAGGCTACGTTAAAAAATCAGTTGACATTTTTATTTGTTAGTATATTAGTATATGATTGATAATATTTGACGAATAATATAATTTTTTTTATTTCAAACATTGTGTACTTTTTAAAATGGTTTACCAATAATGGGTGGTTACTTAAATAACGATATAAAGTAGTCATTTCATTTCAAAACTAGTAACAATAATGTCAGAAAACAAGAAACTTTTTACGAAAAAAGATAATGAAGGTATGTTTTCTTAAGTTTAGGTATTAGACATGTTATATTATGAAAAGTGGTGCAACTAAACCTGCCAGTTAACAGGAAGATTTTAAAAATGATGGAGGTTCATCTTTAAACATATGTTATTCTTCATTTAAATTATACGAGGCAGATTTGAAATTTCGATGACATTGTTCCTGTTTACTTCTCGTGAATCTTTTTTTAAAGAGTTGTTATCCACTTTCAAATGAATTACTATTTATAATAAATTTTATATAATTTAGGAAATTTAATAATTGAAAATACAGAAAAACAATTTAAAAAAGTATTGTCTCCCTTGGATTTTGACTGCGCTAACATTTGATCACTGCGGCTATAACGATTTGACTTTTCAGATCTTTAGGACAATTAGGACTTCTTGGTAAGATGAAAGAAATATGTCAAAATAACACTTTTAACATCAGAGATCAATTAATTGGCATTTCCGTCATCCAAGCCGCAAGCCTTCTGATATTTTTAAAGAATGTTGTATCCAAGCTATGGGAAGGAAATTTAGTATAAAATATCTTTGTTTCGCTCTTAGTTAATGATAGAATTTGAACAATAAACAGTTATTTTTCTCTTTAGGCCTATTACAGAGCGCCAGCAGAAGCAGTAATGGTATATTTAAATTACCTTCCTTACAAAAATAGGAGGTAACAGTATCAATATGATGAAAAAAAGCATTTTTTAGAAGAAATCAATATAATATATTAAATCGATGACATTATATACAAAAGAAAATGCAATTTATATTCTTTAAGTTTATTAATCATTTTTTAATTAGGAAATTGATCTATTTTAAACTTGGTATTATTATTTACTATATTTGCTTTTTTTTATAATTATACGTCAATGTCTTATTCTTTTAGACTTTTTATTTAGATTATTTATAATGTTATTTTTTAATAAATAATAATTTTTATTTGATTTTACATTTGTTTTTTACATATGTTAAAAATTTTTAAAATTAATTTCTTATACAATAACAAATCACTATTAAAGCAGGAATCTCATTTGAATTTCTTATTGACAGCTTGATTATTAAATATGGATTTTTGGTTAGGTTGGAGGGGGATTCTGATGATCAGTCAGTCTAAATGGGTTTGAGCTTTTATTAGCAATAGAACTACGAGAGATAGTCATAGTTTAGTATTTTATCTACTTTGTAATTTTCTTTGTAAATTTTATCTAGTATACAATATAAAATTTAATAAACTTATAGCAGTACTGCATCGTTAAAAGTCAAAAAACCTCCATTTGATTTTTCACGACTAGACGAGATATTCACGATTGTATTTTGAAATCCGAACTCCTTTATTTAAAGTAAAATTTATTGATTCATAATTTCAGCCGATAATACAATTGCGATTATCTCGAGATTAGATGATCTGAAATCAATGAATGTTAGCTTATTGGATTCATCTAGTCGTGAGAAATCGAATGTTAGTTTATTTATATGAATCAGAGCGATATTGATCAATATCATACATCTTTGTTTTTTTTGTTTTTCTATATATAAAAAATCATGTGATATGACGTAATTTCAACCATTTTGACTTTTCACCTCTAATAGTCAAAATGATTCGACCAAAAAACTCTTTCTCTCTCTTCCAAAATATTTGAAAAAATATTTTTTAGAAAATAAAATTGTTTTGCCTTTACTATTTTTAATACAAAAAACCCAGTTTAGATAGTTTATTATTTCTTTTGTCAACTATAATAACTTTATTTACAAAAAAAGAGTTTAAAAGTTTTACAAAGATTTTTACAAATACAATATGACTAGAAATTCCAACAAAAAAACTACTGCCAAAAACGTTTCTGCTAAACCCGCCCAATAATGCAAAGCAATAAGAGAATATTACCTCTAGCTCTGCTGAACATAAAGCTCTAAATCAGGTCAGGTCAACTTGTGATCTGACCCGACCTGACCTAAAAAATCCAGGTCAGGTAGACAAATTTTCAGGTCAACATCAGGTCAGATCAAGCTTATGACCTGACTCAATCTGTTCAGAGCTCTAGCTGAACACTCCTACCAAAATTTGTATTCTAATGAAAATATTAAATCTGAAACCTATAGCTCTTAACAACTTTGCCTCCAATCTTCTTGATCCTGATAAATTTGTTTCTGATAATGAAGATAATATGGAAACTGATACCAAGGATTTCATCATTATTCCTCATCTGATACCCTTTACTTGTGCTATTACTATCGATAAAACTGCCAAAAAACTCCTTACCAATACTATCATTAAAACAATTAATGAAAAATTTGCTTGTGATAACGCATTCAAAAGTGTCAATATTAGACGTGTCAACCTTAGTCATTCCGCAATTCTATACTTCAATAATAAAGAAGCAATGTACACTACATCAATTTGAAATTTCCTGATTTAGGAATTGTGCAGTTCACTGAATATGCTGCATACAAAGAAAATATGCAATTTCAACAACGCATCTTGCATATCACTGACATTCACTTAAAAATGAAACAGGACACCCTTAAATCCTTCTTCTCCAAATATGACAATATCATCAATGTTAGAATACAAACACAGGGTTTGTGACAGTATGCTTATATCACTTATGAAAAACCATAAGATACTGCATTGTTCTATGAACAATAATCTAGATATCTGTATAATGATTGTGTTAGAGTCTATCTTACAAGTTTTACCCCTGAACAGGTAAAACTTAGAAATAATTTTTGTATTAAACTGACCAATCTACTTTTCAGTACTTCCTTACGTGACCTTTATGACATTACTCTTACTACTAAAGCAAAGTCATGTTATATCCCTAGATCTAACAATTACAAACCTTGCCCTTTCGCTATCTTCTATTTTCAATCTGAAGAAGAATTAAATTATGCAATCAAAACTCCCTATGCTCTTGACAATCATGAACTTCAATGGTATTCTGCTGAAGCTAAATGCTATCACAAATGTGAATCTACTGAACATCTTGTAATAAAATGTTCAATAATTGATCAACCAAATAAAGATGACAACTCTAATAATAGATAACTTAGAAATCAACTGTCATCTATTCAAAAACTCTACAATAGGTTTAAACTGGCCGGTTCCCATTCCTTAATTCACAAAAATACCAAATATTATCAAAATGATCACTCTTATTCCAATGTTACCAAAGGGAAAAATAAGGATCCTAATCCTAAATCCTCTTCAGTAAATGACTCTAGTCACAATCCTAATAAGAAGGATGACATCAATGCAAAACTTGATAAAATTCTTAGCATGCTAACTGGTATGCAAAAGAATGTCTGATCTAAAAACCCGTATTTCTAAATTAGAATGATTCCAATTATCTTTTCCTTCACCAATTATACCCATCCCAACTCTTAGCATTTCTGAACCTCCCATCACTTCTCATAATGTTTCATCTTCTGGTTCCAACAAACATACTCGAATCACTTTCTCCTCTTCTGATGAAAACAATATTTCCACCTCTAAATCAATTGATCCTAAAGTTCAGGCTTATATGGATGAACAAAAAGCCATTATTGCAGAACAACAGTCTCAGATGCAAGAAATGATAGCTCAGCTCATAGCTTTAACATCTCAAGCTTAGCAATAACTTTCTCCCTTTTTCTAAATTTACAATCATGATTACTACAAATAATAATAATCACATTAATATTACTTATAATATGTTTTCATCCCCTATCGTTTCTTTCACAACACATAATGTCAATTCTCTTCAATGTGAATACAAAAATATTTCACTTTACAACACCTTTCTTTATATAAATACAGATTTTGTTGATTACAAGAAACATGATACAAATCTGATCAAGCATATCGCTGTTCACGTTGTCACCAGGAATAATCTTCTCTGATTACTTCACTTAATTTGTCTAAGTTCCTTTACTGCGATAAGTAACTTCCTTATCGTCAGACTTTCCAACT